GTGTGTGTGTCGTGTGTGTGTGTGTGTGGGTGGTGTGTGTGTGTGTGTGTGTGTGTGTGTGTGTGTGTGTGTGTGTGTGTGTGTGTGTGTGTGTGTGAGTGTGTGTGTGTGTGTGCGTGCGTGCGAGCGTGCGTGCGTACGTGCGCGCGTGCGCGCGTGTGTGTATCTGTATGGGTGTCTGTGCGTGCGCGTGTCTGTGTGTGTCTGTGTGCGTGTGTGTGTGTGTGTGTATGTCTGTGTGTACGTGTGTGCTCGCGTGTGTGTGGATGTGCGTACGTGCGTGTATTCCACGCACACACAAATAAAACGCACTGACGCTCATTACGCGCTGCTATGTTGTTCATGTCACGTTCGCTCGTGTGTAGGTAGGTAGGCAGGCAGGCAGGCAGGCAGGCAGGCAGGCAGGCAGGCAGGCAGGCAGGCAGGCAGGCAGGCAGGCAGGCAGGCAGGCAGGCAGGCAGGCAGGCTAGGCAGGCAGGCAGGCAGGCAGGCAGGCAGGCAGGTACGTAGGTTAGGGCTTTATAGATTGTGACGGAGTATTTATCATGTCTAAAGCTATCAGGTTGAGTCTAAACAACCAGGTTCTGCTATTTGACTTGGAAGAGTAGGAATTTGGCACACGTGTTGTGTCTATCGTGTAATTCGTAAGTTTTATAATTGTTGCTGTACGGTATATTGCTGGTGAATATTCCACTACGTCGTGACAGAGTAATTATTGGTGTCCACCTATCGGTGTGATGTACGTGAATGATTTCACGTATGTTTCGATGGAAGTGTGGCTGCATGATGTTTTGATGGATGATGTTTTTACTCGGGCAAAATAAAGATACAATAAAATATTATGATGATAATAAAATATTTGCTTTTATATTCCTCGAATTTAGCAAAACAAAACTCATCTTAATGACTTACACGCACTGATGTACAATTATAGACACGTAGTATAGACATTACATTAAGGTTTAGGCTTGTTCAACACTTCAGGGTTTCTGTCACTCCATCACCCCTCGCTCCACATGTGTTAGGTTCCCACACACGGGCAGCTGTAATATCATCAAAAGCTTTTCAGACGGACATCGAAATTATAACTAGTCTATTTCTTATATTTGCTAGTAACGGTGACCATAGCTCACAATTTTTAATATGGAAGAAATCGATTATATATATATCCATATAAGAAATATGGAAGCTTCGTTATAGTAAAGTATATGAATAATGTACGTATATTGATTTCGGTTCTAAATCGTCGAGCGCAGTTCTCACGCAGTAAATACCAATTTTATTAATTTGTCTAACAATTCTCATTGTTGGCTGTGCGGCTGCTGCTGCTGTTGTTGTTTCTGGAGATCCTTGCGTTTTTGAATCTCTTCGTCCCTCCGCCGGGCGAGAACGTATTCGATGTATGATAGGTAACCATCTCTATCGTAATCATCGTCCTCAAAGACTCTGTCTATAAGTTCTGCAATTGATACATCACGAGAAACGTCAGGCGGCACGACTCATGCGACAATACGTGCGACAATATAACACGTGCGACGAATGCGACAATATAAGTTGTCACACGTGCGACGAATGCGAACAAAGAGACTATTGCAATACGTTTACTTAAAAATACCGCACAAATATTACGATGAGTAAGCGCCGAAAACTACTAAGAAAGCGAGCATTGTTGACATGAAATGGTCGAAGGATGCATCTATTCATTTTAAATGTTGGTAATTAATTCTTCTTCGTAATTCTTGGTGGATATTTTTATTCCTAAAGCGATGTAGTTCACTCGGTTACAGCAGTAAGGTAGTATGCTCATGTCGGGTCTCTCTTTCACGTACTCAGTAATTATTCCCTCGTTAGTGAAACGTCAAATGTGCGCGTAGAGGCTGTTAGAATAGAACACACACAAATATACAAGAGCTTATAAAAGTAATTTCATCCTCCTAAACAAAAAAGTACGACGTATTGACACTATTGAAGCAATAGCTGACATTACATCTGCCTAACCAAACTCGATACTCAACAAGCAGCTCCTACTCCTACATGCTACGTTCACATTGCACTATTCACCACAATATGCCAAATCATCACCGATAGCAAGCACAACTATAGTGTTGCCATGTCCCCACCACCGCCGCCGCCACCGCCACCACCAGTAGCAGCACCAACAGCTGCAGCCCTGCCGCCACCACCGCCACCACCAGCAGTAGCAGCACCAACAGCTGCACCACCACCACCACCAGTAGCAGCACCAACAGCTGCACCACCACCACCACCAGTAGCAGCAGCACCAACAGCTGCACCACCACCACGACCGCCACCACCACCAACACCAGCAGCACCACCACCACCAACAGCAGCAGCAGCACCACCACCGTCGCCACCACCACCAACAGCAGCAGCAGCACCACCATCGTCGCCGCCACCATCATCCCATCACCATATTCCTACTACCATCATACATCTTATGATATCGTTGAAGGTATTATGGGAGTTGCGCGCCCCTTCCTTCTTGATACCATAAACTCATAATAGGTAAGGTATCCGTCACCATCCGTGTCATCCTCATCCATGATGATATCTATAATGTCTGCAGAGTGATGTGAGGAGGCAAATGTTATCAGTAAACAAGCATGCGGTTCACAAAGGAGTCGTATGTAACACCTTCCTCCCCCAAATACACTGTTATTGGTTGACAATGAGCTGTTATGTGTACGCAAAAAACCTATAGGCCAACTGGTGTTGGGGTAGTCAAAATTATTATGTCACAGTCATTCCAGCGAACAATCATTCTAGTGAACAGTCAATCCAGTAAATAGTCATTCAATTGAACAGTCATTTACGTGAATAGTCATTCTATTGAACAGTCATTTACATGAATAGCCATTCCATTGAACTGTCATTCATGTGAATAGCCATTCCATTTAAAAGTCATGCAAGTGAACAGTCAATCCAGTGACTACTCATGTCATTGAAGTCATGTCAGTGAATGATCATGTTCGTGAACAGTCATGTCAGTGAACAACCATGTCAGTGAACAATCATGCCAATGAACAACCATGTTAGTGAACAGTCATGTCAGTGAACATTTATGTTACTGAACAGTCATTTCAGTGATCAACCATGTCAATGAACAGTCATGTTAGTGAACAACCATGTCAGTGAACAGTAATGTCAGTGAACAACCATGTTAGTGAACAGTCATGTTACTGAACAGTCATGTCATTGGAACACTCGTCAGTAAACGTATAAATTAGCTTAAGTCTCACCGACGTAGGATCGTAGCCGATCGTCCTGTAGCTCCTTGATCTTTGCCGGATCCTTCCGCAGTCCGCTCGCATCCTTCTCATCCTGCTCTTCCCATGGGATGGCGTGTGTCAGCGCTGCTAGAATCTCCAGTCCATCTAGCTTCGTGTTGTTGTCAAAGTCATGCAGTCTGAATCCGCAGCAACAACAGCGATCCACGTCAGCCCAACCGGCACCGTAATTAATTAATGAATATTTATTATTTTAATAGAATGAAATAATTTATTATTGTATATAAAAATATATACATTTTTTAAATAAATTATTTTATTAATTAATAAATTTATTTTTTAATTAAAAATTAAAAATATTTTTTTAAATTAAAAAAAAAAATTATATATAATAAATTTTAATATATTTATTATAACAAAAAAAAATTAATATTGGCACCGTACAGGGACTAGCAGTGGCTGCCAGCCATGACAGGTGTCGTGGTAGGAGTTTTTCCAACAGGGGTTTAACTAACAATTTTGATTTGTTTTAGCTGATGGATTTCATTGAATTGACTCACGGAACGTTCATCGTGCAAGCAGTCCGGAAATTAGTACTCAACTAAAGTAAACGTAGTAGCGATGTGTTCTGAACACAGTTCTCGCTGTTGTTATGTAACTATGGAAATATCATCAATTTATGTGTACGCTTATCTCTTACGTAACTCGGTGACAGAAACACACCGCTGTGCGCACATACTCGATAGGAAACATTAAAAGGTTGCATACTTGAAGTAATGGAATTCTAGTTCTTCTGGTGTCATTTTCTCTTCGTCTATATCGGCTAGGTCCTTTAGATGTTCCTTCACGTGTCTATCATGAAAGCAAAATATCAGCACAATTTTAGAATCTATATAAATTATGGTGTTTACTGCATGTGCATTAACGACAATAACGACGACGACGATGACGACACAACAACAACAACAACAACAACACCACCACCAACAACAACAACAACAGCAACAACAACAGCGGCAGCAGCAGCAGCAGCAGCAGTAGCAATACTAATAATACTAATAATAATCATAATATAATAATAATAATAATAATAATAATAATAATAATAATAACAAAGCATTTTGTGGTTTTAAGCAGAACGTTGGCGATATTACAGAAGACATGACAGTCATAATTCAACGCACTCGAACTTTAACACCAACATCCCAACTTTGGGAAACACAGAAAAGCATCACTGTGCCGCGAAGAAGCAGAATGTAAATAATATAAGTTGGTATAATTAATACACGTAGTTAATTCTTACTCTCTATCCTGTACAAACTCCTTGTCTCTGAACCTGTTGGTGCCCTGCAAGTCGTCGATGTTGTGTTTTGCCGGTCTGTGCTGGCCATGTGAGATGACGAACACGACACTACAGCTGACGATGAGACAGATGTCCAGTAGACGTCTTGTGAACCAGTCCATGTTTGTCACGTCGCTTAGTTATGATCTGTTATAATTTGGAAACGCGTTGACACGGTTAGCGCAAACGCGTGTTAGTACCGCTCAGGGTTGATGAGTTCATTTCTATCTCGTGTCATCGTCGCGTGTGTGAATAGTATAGTGGGAATTGCCACACACGTGCGTGAGTGTGCAAATGCGAGTACACTGATATCAGGAGTAGATAATAGGGAATTCCCTATCCTAGGTTTCCCTATTATCTACTTCTGATATATATATATATATATATATATATATATATATACATAAAGCATTTTTAATTCCATTACCTTTACTAGTGGCGGCACTAAAGAAGAAGGTAACTATATCATTGCTGTGAGTGCCTGTTTTTGCCATATGTGGTTAACACAAATTGGCCTGGAGTCAGATCATCTTTGTCTAAAAGCTATGATTGACTTTTCTCGTGCAGGTGGGACTAGCGACGTCATTGTACGAGAAGGGCTTACTCGTGACAAGAGCACCGCTCCAATCCATCTTCTATAATGACGACTGAGACTCACAGATGGCAGCACTGTAGCAGCGATGGCAGCCATGTATGTAAGACACTAGCCAGCTATTCAAATCGTGTGTTCCCGAGCAATCATGATTAATTCGCTTCAGTCAGGAAGCCTTCTGCTATTAGGTGCCAACATTGTAAGGGGCTATTGTGTCTAACTTTGGATTGTTACCTTATAACTACTGTCCCCATCTTTGTTATGGTAATGAGCGAGATATGGCTCTGGAAAGGGTTATAAGATGTGTCAATGTGAATTCAGTTGTGGGCTTCTAAGAGGTGGGTCGTTTGCAAGCTGCAAATGAAATTACTTGTTTTATTCTAGTAATTATCTTTGAATTTGCATTGTGGAATTATGTGCAGTGTCTCATAATGCAGCCTCAGTTGACCAATGCGGACAGTCTGAGAGAGGGGTCAGTAATTCAAAGAGCGGATGTTTTTAACATGGAAGTGGCAAAATATGTAGAATGAATATTGTCGTAAAGTGTGGCCGCGTTTATGAGCTAGCTAGCTGTGGTGATGTGGCAAAACTCAATTTTTCTCTGCTGCCATATAATTCATGTTTGGACCTAAGAGTGTCACAGAGAAGCTATTAGGATAGTTGATGCCTATGCTCTCAAAATAGGTAAGCTCTGTTGCTTGGGCTTGGATGGTGGCGATTGTAGAATTGTGAACGCAGTTGTGGATTCGATCCTGCGATAATTGTGAAAAAATGTAGCTTGGAGAAATTCCTGCTCAATTTCAGTTTATCAAGAAAATTCTCTCAGTGCAATTACGGAGTAATGTTTTCAGCGTTATGGTATTTTGTTCGTGTGTGTATGATGGTAATAGTTGTTAACTGCTTTGTAATAATAAACGTTTGACAAATTGTCAAATGAGGTGTTGCTTGATTTATAATCATTGGGCCTCGGAGAGAAAGAAAAGAAGCGAGATTGAGCGGGAAAAGGCGTCAAACGTATTTTCGAATCCATGCATGGAAAAATATGCATGAAAGTTGATAGTTGAAACGTTTGTAATGAACCTGATAATGTCGGACCCAACCCGCGTGAATGAATTGTGTCAGTCGTTAACAACAAGTCACTGCTAACTGTTCCCAGGAGATTTGTGCAAAGTGAGAGAGTATTAGGAGTAATTATTAACTTCATTACGTAACGTTGATTTTAACGTTACTATGTCGTTGTAGATTATAATGTTACTATTGTTAGCCAAAACCCATAGATAAGACGAAGTCAGAGGATAAATACCATGACTCGATGTTTAATATAGGTTGACACACTGAATGCTGTTACAGATGCAGTAATCGCAGGTTCACCTGGCTGTCGAGAGAGAATCCCAGATTCTGCCCGGGTCCCGGCCTTTATAGCCGCTTATATCACTGTATAGGTAGGTAGGTAGGTAGGCAGGCAGGCAGGCAGGCAGGCAGGCAGGCAGGCAGAGGCAAGGCAGGCAGCAGGCGGCAGGCAGCAGGTAGGTAGTTAGGCGCTTTAATAGATTGTGACGGAGGTATTTATCATGTCTAAAGCTATCAGGTTTGAGTCTAAACAACAGGTTCTGCTATTTGACATTGGAAGAGTAAGGAATTTGGCCAGTCACGTGTTGTGTCTATCGTGTAATTCGCGGATAGGCTTAAGTTTTATCAATTGTTTGCTGTACGTAATAGCGCTGGTGAATATTCCACTGCGTCGTCAGCAGAGTAATTATCTGGTGTCCACCGCTAGTCGGTGTGATGTACGTGAACGTGATTTCACGTATGTTTCGATGGCAGCGCGTGGCCTGCATGATGTTTTTGATGGAGTGATGTTTTTAGCGTCGGGCAAAATAAAGATAGCATAATATTATGCGTGATAATATATCAAAAATATTTGCTTTTAATATTCCTCGAATTTAGGCAAAACAAAACTCATGCTTAATGACTTTAACACCACTGATTAACAATAAGTAAGACACGTAGTATACGCATTACATTAAGGTTTAGGCTTGTCAAGACTTCAGTGTTTTCTGTCACTCTTGCCATCCCCCTCGCCTCCACAGTTTAGGTTCCCACACACGGCCGGCAGCCTGTAATATCATAAAGGCTTATCAGAGCGGACATAGAAATTATAACTAGTCTATTTCTTATATCTGCTAGTAACGGTGAACCATAGCCTCACAATTTTTAATATGGAAGAAATCGAATATATATATATATAGTATCCATATAGAAATATGGAAGCTTCGTAATAGTAAAGTATATTATGAAGGGTAATGTTACGTATATGGTTTTCGGTTCTAGAATCGTCCAGGCGCAGTTCTGCACGCCAGTAAATAGCCAAATTTTATTAATTTGTCTAACAATTCTCATTGTTGGCTGTGCGGCTGCTGCTTGTTGTTGTTTCTGGAGATTCCTTGCGTTTTTTGAATCTCTTCGTTCCCTCCGCGGGCGAGAACGTATTCGATGTATGATAGGGTAACGATCTCTATCGTATCATGCGTCCTCAAAGACTCCTGTCTATAGTTCTGCAATTGATACATCAACGAGAAACGCAGGCGCCGACTCTATGCGAACAATACGTGCGACAATGATAAGCACGTGCGACGAATGCGACAATATAAGTTGTAAACGTGCCACGAATGCGCAACAAGAGACTATTGCGATACGTTTTACTTAAAATACCTTGCACAAATGATTCGCATGAGTAAGCGCCGAAAACGTACTAAGAAAGCGCAGCATTGTTGACATGAAATGGTCGAAGGATGCATCTATTCATTTTAAATGTTGGTAATAAATTCCTTCTTCGTAATTCTTGGTGGAATTTATTCGCTAAACATGTTAGTTTCACTCGGTTACAGCAGTAAGGTAGTATGCTCATGTCGGGTCTCTCTTCTCGTACTCAGTACATTATTCCCAGACCTCGTTAGTGAAAACTTTCCAACTGTGCCGTAGAGGCTGTTAGAATAGAAGCACACACAGAATATACAAGAGCTTAAGATAAAAGTAAACTTCATCCTCACTAAACAAAAGGTACGACGTATTGACACTATTGAATGCAATAGCTGACATTGACATGTCCGCCGGTAAGCCAAACTCTATAGCTCAACAAGCAGCTCCTACTCCTACATGCCTATTACTCAAGCAGCAGGCTCCTACTCCTGACCATGCTGCGGTTCACATTGCACTAATTTTCACACACAATATGCTAATCACATCACCGATAAACCAAGCATAACTATAGTGTTGGCCACATGTCCC